TTCCCCAAACTGGTAAAACTCTGAGCTTATGCAGAGAAGCAAGCAGTAGCTGACTGTGTCACAGAGAGGGAAGCAGCATGTGCAACAACTAACTTTCAGCACTCCATTCAGTGCTTAGCAGTGCTCATTGCCATCTACCCCTAAATAAGACAACTTCCTCCAAGAGACTGATCCAGCACAGGAATCATCCACGCGCTTCAGCTCTCCCTTTCTAGGAACTCCTTTGTCTCTCATACTTTAAGAGCCCAGAGGGACTAGCTCATTCACTTCATGTTTGAAGACAGAAAATGTTTGTTTTTCTCATAACAATCCCAAGATGCAGTCAATTGAAGGATTTTGAAGTTAGAATTATATTGAATCAATCTTTATACTTTTTATAACATACACGTATTGCAGACATGTATTTCTTGCTCCTGGCTCTTATCAATAGGCACATATTTCCAGTTGTCTTTGCCTCAAATCTGCTGGTTTTCATTTTGAAAGTTTTTATTATTTCTACTGCATTCTCCCCCAATTTGTCAGCCTTGCTCTTGTAATATTTGTGGTTGCAAATGACTGGCATTATAATAATCCTTGCTTGCTGTTTCTTTTCAAAAAAAAAAAAAAAAAAAAAGTAAAAAAAAAAAAGTAAAGTAGTTCAGAGATCTGAATAAGTGAATGCACTGACACATAACTGCTTGCACAATGCTCTGCTTAGGAAAGCCAAAGTCGTCATGAGCACATCACCAAAATTATGTGGACCAACTGTTAGAAGATCAACTCTGTGTATGTCACAGGCTTTTGGGCAGCCTTCCAGTCTGAGAGTTTGAGAGGATCCATTTCAAAACAAACAACAAAGAGAAGATGTGGCTGTGAATTAAAGGCTTTGAAATAAAACCCATACAGCAACTACCGGGTCATAGGATTTGTGAGCTATGTTACCTCCAAGCATTTGCCAGCAGTAGTACATACATATATGCTTGTACCTTGTGTACTGGGAGCCTGAAGCCACAGTACAAACCTTGAAGTTAGACAAATACAACAGCTTCAGGCAAGGTGAATCCAAACATGGGATAAACAAGTCTTAAAATTACAAAGAGATCCTACAGTTACATTCCAGGTACAGCTATAAAGCTTCAAAACCTTTACACTCTTGCTTGAAAAACGTGAATTAGAAGGAAGGTACGTTTTATGGAAGCTTTGGTGTCTCCAGTATTCAGAAGGGAAATATTCAAATGGAAATACTATGGAACCACATCTTCAGTATGTATCAACATATAAATCTGCATTATCTGTGTCTCAAGTCAGCTGTCTATCTCTGTTCCCAAATCTATGATAGATGAACAACACAGAAGAAAAGCAGAGGCTCATCAGTGCTTTTTCTCTCCCCTGCAGGGTACCACACAGCCTAGGTGTGCCTCTCCCCGAACCAGGGAGCATTAGCAAAGGTGAAAGCAATAACAAGCAAATCAGTCAGCTAGATAACCAAGGTAAACGGAGAATTTGTAGGGATGATAGAAGGCAGTTGCTGCTCTGGCTTCACCTTAGACCTGCCTGAAATCTAGCTTTGAGCACAGACCTTTGCAGCATGAGGTAACACAGAGTCGTTGCCACAAGTAGGCCCTGACAGAACAAATAGCCTTGAAGAGCTCTCACGAAGCAGATCATTTGCTCCCTTTCTTCACCTCCACAAGCCATCTTAGTAGATTTGGTAATACGTACATTTAAGCAGTCCCACAACCACAGATGCCAGGGAAACAAAAGCAAGTCTGTAATGGTAATGGGTCCCTTTGGATCCAGAACTTGATGCAGAATGTCTCCTAGAACGAAGTCTGTGCAAAAACCTGTTACCACACCAGATTTGTACTAGGAACTGAGAACCAACTCTTTAGATGCAGTGATCTATCACTGCACAGAGCTGACTTTGTTGACATAGTCCATGATTGGAGACCTTCAGGGAACAAACAACAGCCTATTTGGAATAGGTCCCATGCCAACAGGATTGAAGAAGTGCCAGTAGATGTATGAGTTTCCTCCAAAGTACTCTCAGTTCCTTCTAGGCTAAGAGTGATTAAAATGATTAAGTGTGTTGTGCAAAGATCTGATCTAAGACAGAAATGATATTCAGCTACATCTAGATTCAAACTAATGTTTATGATGACTGTAAGCACTTTTGGGGGATATCTGTGCCTGTACAGAGTTTAACACAGAGATGTAGTCTTTGAATTGAGGTTATATTTACTACTTGTAGAGACTCATCAGATGGAGGTAGATGCCTTCATGTGCATAGACTGAGTAAATCCATGCTGTGCAATGCAGTGCTATACTTAGGCACACCAATCTGCATAGGCCTATAATGCTGCATTCCAGGAACAGAAATCTCTGTAGCATGCTCCTCAGCACGGCTGATCCACAATCAACTTGTGCAGAAAGAGAATCAACTCTGGCACAGAGAACTTGGCAGTGCAATCCCTAGTTCTGGTAACAGTACACAAAACACCAGTTGATTCCTGCAGTGTAACACACAAAGCCTCAAGGATTTCTGTCACCATGCAGGTAGTTCATATTAAACAAGATTTTTAAGAGGTACGATGGGACTCCATCCTCCCGCACGGTATAAGTTTCAGATACCAAAATATTAGGAGTGATCAATATCAGGAGCGCCAATGCCTTGTCTTATTAAGGGTTTTTCCTACTCATAATCAGCAAGTAAAAGTAAGATTCACTAGCCTCAAATATCACTTAGGTATATGCAAATGGCTAAGCCATGCATGTGGTTACATTAATTGGGACCCCAATTCAGACACCTCTGGGGACGCATTAACATTTAACTTGTGTCAGAGCACAAATAGTAGCAGTGTTCCCTTTGTGGCATCAAATCAGGCCCATTAATTAGTCCCTATTAATACACGATCCCTGGGTGCCATTAGCACATTTCTGTTGGTGGCTTATTCACAGCAAAGCTTTACTCACTCTAATTGCTCAAATTGTCTTTTCCAGAAATCTAACAGTTGCTTTTGGACAGAAACAGTAGTGCAAACACAATAAAATAAAATAAAACATACACCAGCTTTAGCACAGAACTTGGAGTGTGATCCAAAGGTCATTGAAGTTAGTGAAACAATTGTCTTCCATGAGCTTTGGATCAAGCTTCTTGAGAACAAATTTTTGCTAAAGTTTCAGCCTTTTTGAGAGCTCACTCTGCTATTTCATGTCCACTCTAATTTAACATAAATAGAAAGCAATTCTCCGGCCCTTTCTTGCATGAAACAACTTGGATCCATTAATTGGAATGGTTCTCACGAGCAAGTGCTCTTTCATACACAGGCTACATACCAAAGTTAGCAGCGTCTAAACAACAGTCCAAGAGTAGAGAAGAAGTAAATTCAACATCGGTGCCAGTATTTCATATTCCGTTATCATCTACATCTCTCTTCCTTCTTTCTCTTTTAAAACTGCCTCCCTGTATTTGATTTCTTGCAGGTTTCCACATGAATGCAGGGAAAAATCATGACCCTGATTTTTCAATACATTTTAAAAGTGTTACCCTTCTAAGGTTCAATACTGCAAGATTTGCCTACTAAGATGTCACAACGGCAACACATTCCCACATAAAGAGAAGAAGGAGGAATTCTGATATGTTCCTCTGGCTCAGCAGTGCAGCAGACTCAAAAAAAATTGTCTCTACAAGTAGAGAAGCTGTATCACTTTCCACAACTTTTGCTATCTGCAAAGTAGCTGTTCATTTCATGAGGATCGAATCTGGTCTGCAAATTGTGAAATACTGCAGTAGCTTAATTTACAAAAGAAACATAGAATGGCAAAGATATGGCTAAGACCAGTCCAGCTTGAAAAGAGTCAAATGCAATAAGCATGACTGCACGAGTACAAACAGAAGAATTATTCCTCCCCACACACCCCTCCAAAAACATAATGATTCATAAAAAGGCTGGGCCTTTTAATCAGGTCTTAATATCAGCAAAATTACATCACTCGCTAGCATGCTAATGAATTCATCTCCCAAGGTTTTATGCTAAGTGCTCTATCATGACCCTGAATATTTCCCACATGGTATGCTGCAGATTTTAAAAGATCTCTTTGTAAAAATATGACATATACTTTACATTTGAAAGACAGTGGGAGCACTTTTTTTTACTGAAATAACAGCACAAATCCAACCTGCAGCCAAGAAGCTAGTGAAATGCCAAGATGTTATTCAAAATTGTTATTAAAATTCAGGGTGGTCCCTCTTAACCAAATTTCTGGCATTATAGCTTCATTTTAGTGTGATCATGGTACTCAGCAGATCAATGCAAACACAGAAACATCCATAAAAAGTCACGCTGCTGCTTTAGGATCCCATCTCCAATGAAGATGGGTACCACCTGCTTTCAGAAAACAGCATAGGATTTCTAATTACTTTGTTTTATTCAAAGTGTGTTTAGCACAAGTTATAAAAGAGTTTAGAAGTGTACTGGTCAGCGACTCCTGAGAAGAGCACAAAAGAGCACAGCAAAGCAGAACTACTAAAGTCACTATGGTTGAGGCTGGAAGCAGGACATTTCCATCTGGAATAGACATCTCAGAAGCATAGGCAGCACCCAATTTTATCACCAGAAGGATGGGCGTATCCATCACCCATGTCCATGTCATGCAGCACTGCTTTAGTTATTTGCATCTCTCCCTTAGCTTCAGGCCTGGCTCTCCAGGAGCCTGAGATCAACTCACGAGGCCATGCAGTATCTTCTGTTCTTGGCAACTCCCTTGCCTATGCGTAAATCTGAGCTGGGCTTTGCCACAGGCTGAAAGCCTCTCTCTTTCAGAGCTGAAATTTGGCACTCATTCATGAATTTTAGTGTAAAACTGACATACTCGTAGAAGATTAGATATATATTTCACCAAAGTCAAATCTAGCCTGATGTTGCTCGGATAAAACTTTTTAAGATAAAGATTGCTTATATTTTTTCCTCGTTCACCCACCTCACATCTTACCTTCTCCTTCAAGTAGTTACGATCAGCCTGTAAAATATTAGCCTGGCTTGTTTACCCAGGGTTGCTTCCAAGTTTCACATTAAGCAAGAGCAATGTTGCTGAGGACTTGAGCCAAACCTAGTGAAATCCATAAAAGAAAGCTGCATCAGTTTTAACGGGCTTTGCAACAGGTCTCAGATATTTCAAGAGTAAAAGTTCTCCATTCCTACAATCACAGCATTGGCAGAAGCAGGAAAACACAGTGGCCAAATGGCAGGACGATGTAGGGATGTAACCCAGGGTACAGCTGGTAAATCTCAGCAGGAATTCTTAGCTCCAGTAGTTAAAGCTGAGCTACTGCTCCAGTGCAGAGCTTGTCAGCAAAGGAATTATCACCATCATGACACTAGACCTATTATCTCAGCAAGATTTTAAAGAAAGACTAACGTACATGGGATGGGCTCAGTCACTAGGCACAGAGCCTTTGCTATTTCCCTCAAGACTGTTGAGGAACAAAAGTGTGTCATATTCACATTTCTTTACTGGAGTGGAAAAAAAAGGCCTTTTTATGTCTGTGAGGAACTGAGTCTTTGACGATCTCGTTGTAGGAAAGACCTTAATCTATCATCTCCATGATGTCTTCTAGTTAGCAGCAGAAGCTTTTCCTTCATTAGACAGTAGATATCTACATAGGAAAGAGTAATTTCTCATGCCCATAGCACAAAAAAAAAAAAAACAAAAACAACCAGCTCCAAGCAGGTTTTTCAGCCTATTAGATGGGAAAAACGGAAATAAAAACAATGAAAAAAAAACCACATAGATGAACAAATTCAAAGTATACTGAGCATTTTCTGAACTATGCTGCTTTTCAGATAAATCTGACCGTTTGTCTGACAAAGGCAGGACCAGGTCTCCTCTTGCTGTAGTCAGGCATCATTCCTTTCATTGCAATAGGACAGCATATGTGAAACAAGTCTTGTGATGTCTACATTAAAGTAGACATACTAGAGAAATTACTGCTAGTCTTGGCATTTACTAAGGGTTACCAAATTTCATCTACTCTTCTTCAGAAAAAGGTCTTGTTTCTTCATCTGCTGGGTATCACTGCCTACTGCTATCCATCCTGTGCAGCTATGTGCATTCAAAGGTATCTAAACATCCTCCAACACATCACTGGGCAACACAGCTGCCATCTGTTATTCTCTCTGTCTCTCAGCCCAGCAAGAGAACTGAGCCGACAGTATTTTCCTCTTGGAGAGTTATTTTTGTTGCACTTCTGGGTTTCTTGATGCACTGAAAATGCATGTTAGGCCAAGTCCTTCACAGCATGGCAACTGATTGACTGAGTGATGTGAGTAACTGCAATTTCTCAAAGCACCCTGGGATGTGTAGCACTCTGTGTGCATAAATCACTCTTAAGAGCAACTGGAATAAAATCTGTGACTGGCAGTGCAGGATTCTGAAATGTATCTGAAGTGCTTGGGAAGGCTTTGCAGTGACACAGCTTTTTGTGCACTGAAAGGTATGCACTGAAGCTCTATAAGCCTGGTCACCCATTCCCCTTGATAGCTTTAAAACAGACCAAGAAGAATGATATACTTCTTTAATCTGTGCTGATGCTATAAGAACCACTTTCTGGAACTTTGTTTTTACTGACATAAAAGTATCCCCTCAAACATTTATGTTCATTCTTTTTTCTTCTTCAGAGTATGGAATTCTCCTGGTGGCATATTTATTTTCTCTAATAACGCTGAATTTATGCTGAAAGCTGCCTGAAATAGCCCAGTCTCTTAAAGAGATTAGATGTCAGAGGTGACGGGAAGTGTCTGAAGGAGAAACACTCCTTGGCTACCAAGGAGAGCTGAGTGGGTCAAAGAACCTTGGCTTTTGTTTCATTTTTTTTGTTTCATTTTAAATCTAGCCCAAATGAAGAATGGGCCATAAGTATCTGTCTGTGAGAAATGAAACAGCAATGCACGTTAGTTAATTATGGAGAGGTATCCATGGCAAAAAGCACAAGATGCTTTACAGTGATTTATGGTCTGTCTTCCAGGAGAGAAAAATGAGCCTGCTGTGAAGACACCATGCTCATGAACACATTTGTTTTTCCTGGTGTTCTGCTAGCTTGCTGCTGGCCTGCTAAGTGAGCCCGTTGGCTCTGGCATGCCAGAGCACTTCCTAAGGAAGTGTTACTACAAGCTAAGATAGAGCAATGAAAACAACTCCCTTCAAAAACACCACAGCCCAATCCATCGCTTGATTGTGCCCTATGACTGCAAAGCCCAAAAAGGAAAAGCACTATTATGGAACAGGACCCATTTCTATGTAACACTCATATCCATGCACAACAGGAGGACAACAACCTTATTTTTATCCCTTCTCCATTGGCAGAAGGCTCATATTACAGCAGGTAAAATTAGTGCATAGATACCAGAGCTGAAACAGCCAGTGAAATGTCAGCAAGGAAGGCCTAATAAGCTAATAGGGGACATACCACCCAGACATCAGTGGGACATAGGTTGGACAAAACCAGCATCTTGCCAATAGACAAGGGCTGCCTCAGGACAGGGGACAAGCCAAGTGTCAGTGCTAGCCCTGCACAGGCTGGCACTTACCAAGGGTTGCAGCCACATAGGGCTGAGCACGGGGAGGCAAGGCAGGCAACAGGCTTCCTTGGTGGCATAGCAAAGGTCAAGCCAATATCAGGGTATCCAGAGCCAGGAGCAGACAGGTCAAGGCCACAGAATGGCCCTGGTGGGGCTGGAGACAGACTCAGCAGTAGCCCAGCTCAGTGACAAGGCAGCAGGCTCTAGGCTGGGCTGAAATAGGTGCCTGGGCTCACAGCGCAGGTGGGGGTCCAGAGAAAGCCAACCAGAGTCATTAAGGCACATTAGTGCTTTTAGGAATCCCCCTCAATTCTTTTTTATTATTGCTAGTGACGGTAGTGGATAATTGGACCCCAGCACACATCTGAGTAATGGTCTGTGAAGCAGTAAGGCAGATACACAGCTTTCTGGACTTACCACCCTCAGAAGGTAGAGGGGCTGCTTTAAGGGGACCCATCCTGCACTCAGCACAGCTCTTGCTTTTCTCTCTGCAGAAAAACGTCATCTCTTCCTGACATTTCAACCCCTGGAGGAGAAGGAGACATGGACTGTAAAGGAAACATTGACTGTACACTGAATATACTTCACTGGCCACTTGGGAGGAGTAACTTTGCCAGTTCGCAGCATGTGGGATCAGCAGCCGGCTGCAATCCTGGCCAGTTCAGACTCATCCACAACCAGCCACAAGGTTTGGGTACTTTTTTTGTTTTGTTTTGTTTTGTTTTAAAAAAAACTTTTGTTAGCCAACCTTTTAAGTGGTGCACTCTTTTGTTGGGTTACCTTCCTTCAGGGCCTAAATTAGAGCCAGTAGACCATGTTGCTATCAGTGGACCAGACCCCAGCTGGGCTAAATTATACTTGATGTGACCTGCATCTCTCATAGTCAGGACTAAGTGCCTCACATTAGGCATAGAGATTAACACAGTGCTCAGCTTGTGGGACAGATATTTTAAATGTTCTGATAGAAAGCATATGAAATAATGAACTCTAATTTTCTCACGCTACGGGTGACCCTTGAATAAAAGAAGATCTGCCCTTCATGAATAAATTCACTTTTAATTTGCGTGCAAGGGAGGTGAAATGTAAAGTTTTCCATTTTAGCAGATTTTTCCCCCATAAAATAATCTCTTTCTTTCTGAATGTTGCTATTCCTCAGCTGCAATGAGAAAATCGATGCTGTGCGATCATTTTTCCTCTCTCAACGTACCCATCCAACACAACTGCAGAGCTGGGCCCAGCAGCAGGAGAGTAACCCAACCAGGGCTGGAGCAACGCTGCCCTCTAGTGGGGAACTCAACACATGTGCATGCTGATGCGTCTGCAACTTTGCTGTTGCTGAGTCTTAGTAACATACCTAGGCTGGAATAACCTCCTTTTTAGTACTTTCCAAGTACACGTGTTTGTAAGGAAACTGAATACAGACATTACACAATCACCTTGAGCCATTGCATGCTCAGCAGGAGAGATGGAGTCATAGTATCACAGAATCATTAAGGTTGGAAAAGACCTCTAATATCATCCATCTAGTCAACCATCTTCCTACCGTCAATATTGCCCACTAAACCATGTCCCTAAAGTACCATGTCTACATGTTTCTTGAACACCTCCAGGGACAGTTACTCCACCTCCCTGAGCAACCTGTTCCAGTGTACCACTACTCTTTCTGAGAATAAATGTTTCCTAATATATGAACTGAACCTTACCTGGCACAGCTTGAGGCCACTACCTCTCGTTGTATCACTGTTACCTGGAAGAATAGGCTGACTCCCACCTCACCACCACCTCCTTTTGAGTCCGTGTAGACAGCACTAAGATCTCCCCTGAGTCTCCTCCACAGTGTATAATCCCAGTTCCCTCATTTGCTCATCATAAAACTTGTGCTCCATAACCTTCACCAGCTTCATCTTCACCATGTAGAGATATTCACCCACTAATACAGCTCTAAGCTTCTTCTAATTTGCCTCCCTTACACATATACAGGAAAGGGATGGTGAAACTCTCCTTTCTTGCCCAGAAGGTTTCATTTGCTTGTTCCCGGAGTCTACAATCCTTCTTAGCTCCCATCACAAGCAGGACCAGATCTCTGCCTTCCTCCTTGCAAGGTTCCCGCTCCTAGCTGGTAAGCCTTTGGTCTGCCTCTTCCAACAGCTCTTGCTATCTATTCACTTCTCAACAATATTAGCCTGTAAGTAGCATCCCAAGGCAAGGGAGGAGCACACAGACCTTTCACAGTCTACTGCCCTGAGCACCTACAGTATTCTCCAAGTGGCCTAACTTCAGAGTTGCTCACATCACTTACTATCAGTTAAGCAGTCACAATCAGATCTTGTTTCTGAATAGGGTGTTTCCCTTCCAAGGTGCTTGGAACAATTTCTAAACGTCCACAAAGCATTCTGCTTTCTCTTAATTGCTCATTTCAAGAGATACCCACAGATTTTTGAACGTTTCCCTGCAATCCATTGGATGAGGTACACTGCATGCCAAGTCCAGGTGGAGATAAGATTTCAATCTCTTCAGCATAAACTCTCCCAACAAACCTCCAAGACTTTTGACTTAACCTCACATCTGCTTTCACAGCATAAGAAACCTGCCAGTCCCTGTGCAGTGAGGGCTTTTGCAGCACAAAGCTTCCACTTCCCTATGTCTGGTTCCTTTTACCTCTCCAGAAAGCCAGTCTGCCACTTTAATCACAGTTGAGCTGTCAGCCTGTAAATCCCCAACTCTGCACACCTGAAATGTGTTCACTGGTGAAACAGTGCCCAGGAATTTCCTGGCAATGGTTGATGTCAAAGGAAGAAGTTGCAGAGTTTGCAAATACCCCGAGGTGGCTGCTGCTGCAGTCAGTTTTTCCAGCGTCTGTCCCACATCCCTTCCCTGGCATCTGCCCCTAAAAGCCTAATGCAAATCTACAGCCCCTTTTACAAACACAGAGGGCCAGGTTATGCCCCTAATTTCCCCATTTTCCCACACAAAATACAAGTTCAGCCACATACCTTCAGACCTTCTTATGCTCTCTGCTGTTTCTTTACTTCTTTTCTCCCTCCATGCGCTCTCTGCATCCTCTTGTGGTGCTCTTCCCCCCACACAACACCTTATTTAACAGTCTTCTCTGGAGAGGAGATAAACTTTGTCTCTCCAGTCTTCACTCGGTGCCACCTGTTGACCTCTTGGTCTCTGGGGAATGCCACCAGATTTTCTCCTTCAAAGCACTTTAGGAAAGGAAATATTTCCAGAAACAAGTGGTCTTACTGATGCTGATCCCCACGGCGACCTCATGGCAAGGCCTTGGCTGCTATTGTCCAACTGGTCTTCAACACATTGCAGTCCCACACTGGGGCCTGATGGACCTGATAACCAACACACAGCTGGGAGCACGTTGAGATCTCTCCTGTCATTGCCACATTGTGTGAAATGGATTATCTCCACCCACAGCTGCAACTGCATGCAAGTGAAGGCCCCAGAGTGGCCCAGCCCCATCGCCCCATCACCATGCTCAGGTCTCTGCACCAGCAGGAGCTGCTTGCTCCTCTGCAATGATGCATGCCAATTTGTCAGCCAGAGGGTGTGAATGCAGGAAGAAAAACCTCTGATGCTAACAGATCCAAGGCTGGACATACAGGAAAAACCAAAATATCTCTTAATTACCTCTGTTATTGATCCTTTTCCTGGGCAGAGGGGAAGGGAACGAGCCTTTTGTCCAAATCTTTCCTTACAAACAGAGCTTGGCCACAGCATTTGCACACTTTGTTAAGTCTGGAGTTTTGTGATGTTGGAGTTTTTTCTCAGGCTGGCCTTGTCTGAACATTTTGGGAGCAGTAAGACTGAAACAGTTGCCCTCAGAGTCAGAAGAGACTCATCTGTATGAAATGTGTGTATGAAAAACTTACTGCACGTCCTTTTGAAGGGCTCAGAATTTTGCTCAAAGCCAACAACAAAAAAAAAAACATGCAAGTGAGCCATTTCTAGGGCTTTCCATACAGGTGTGCTGGCAGCTGTTCAACCCATAAGGTGGGCACAGTTGGTATTAACTCCAACAAATGCAAAGCAGCCTGCTGCAAGCTGAAAAAGTGTCGTCCATGATGTGTGGAGCTGTGGTCAGCTTGCACAGTTGGCTGCAAGTCCTGCTCCAGGCCTGGCTACAGACATGGTGGGAAAACTCACAAGAAGATCCATGCAGTTGCATTTAGGCTGGGAATTATATCAGGAATTATTTGTTTTTCCTCAGAGAAAAACAAGATCTTATTTCCAAGCTGTTAATGGAAACAGTCATGCAGTCTGAGGCTTTTAAAGAGAAAAAAAAAAAAAAAAAAAGAAAAAGAAGAAAAACACAGTTGTTTTGCTAATATGAGTAATGTTCCTCAGCATTTGTAATGAAATTAAGCTTCTGATTGCTTCTCCATCTAGAAAAGAGTAATTTCCACTCAAGAAGTGCAGAGAATAGCATTTCAATAGACAGCAATTCATCAGCATTGCTGAGACGCTTGCTTTTCTGCTCATTTCCAGAATCTCCTTCCAGTTTCCTTTTTCTACACACAAAAGGCACACCTCCTTGTCCTCCAGCTGATGCACAGCAGAGGACATGCAGCGAGAACAGAACAGGTTCCGGATTGGGCAGCCCAGCCTCACTGGGGATTGCAAGAGCCTTGGGAACAAACTCGCCAGCACAGACTCTTGGCTTTCGTTGGAGGAATACTGAGATGTTATCCAAACAAAGGCCCTCTGCTTGGGCATTCAAATTTGAAAGCATTTTGAAGGTTTTGGGCCAATTGATACAGCCAACACTAGCAAGTCTGTGGCACAGGCAAGACAGGAGTTTCTGATTTCCAGTGCCTCACATCTATTTTTAGTTCCAAAATCAGATAAACAGTAAGAATCAAAAGCAAACTGAGAGAGAACCTGTTGGAAAATAGCAGCTGTGTACTTCTGACTTTTTCCACAGTAGCTAGGCTTTAAGGAACAATAACAAAACTGCAGTGCCAGAGACACACAAAAAATAAATCAGTGATAAACTATTTTTACAGGCTTCTCATTTGGCTTTTTAGGAAAACTAAATTTTTGCATCATGTTCCCAAGCAGTTCCTGGCCATCTGAAGGCAGGAGCTGTGTTTCTTATCAGATGTCTCTTCTGCCTTGATGCACCTATGCTAGTTTTTGATGAGCAGTAAGGCTATCAGCCTGCTTGCCCTTTTTAAGCTTATTTTGCATAATGGCAACTTCTGCGTTCCCAGTAAATTACAGTAAAGTTTAAGCAGGATTATTTGACCTTGAGGCTTGATATTTTTCCTCATTGCCCTCAGTAATAAGACTACCTTTGGGTGACCAAGAAGCAGCTTTTAGTAGTTCAAAGACAAATGTTTACCTTGGAATAAAAAAAAAAAAATTGCATTTGTATTGTCTAGCTTGTGCAGGCATTTCAAGAAAACATATTCCTGGGCAATAAATTGGTCCCAAGCAATGGTAAAACAATGATAAAATCAATAAACAAAGATGTGCAAAATTTTCAGGGAAAATATGAATATTTGCTTAGGTTAGTCTACTACAGCATATATCCTGTGGGGAAAAAAAAATAGAATTTGATCATAGCTTTTAACATCTATCACGATGTGGATATATTAGGAAGCTGAATTTTCTTTAACGTTTCCTTTATTTGTTGTGATTTTAATGGTTTTTTTAATTTGTTGTGAGGAGGGGAGGAAGACAATGAATCTTTTGATCTTTAGACGTAGCGTAGACATACACAGAGTGCACTGTAGGTCAGAAAAACACACCAGGATGCAAACATTTATTTTAAGCTATGTTGTATTTAGGACTTTACAGAGCACCCAGGAATGGTTGGTTGCCTTTTTTGTTGCAGAATCACAGTATCATTTAAGAAAGACTGGAACAGGGATATGGCGAATCACCTTGAAACTGGACAGCAGCATGGAATTCATTGCAGAAAAAAAGCCCCTAGCACTCAGAAATGTATTCTTACGTCTTGGCTGACAACCTGAAGTAGCCCAGAGCCAATGTTTTTATAGACTCTGTTATCTTTCAGACTTGACCTAAAAGCTTCATAAGAAGCAAAGTTATTTAGAATAATTTGATTTATAAGTGATGTCCATAAACCACAACTTTGCCACAAGCAATTGCACAGTGACAAGCAGCACTGGCTATGCTGTCATTGGTAAATACTTTGCAAAAGGAGAGGACTTGTCATTTTAATACCAGCCTCCGAGTCAGTATATTGAAACTAAACCCTAAAGTTAAAAACAAAAAAACACAAGTTGTGGGAGTGAACAATTAATTACAGTAATTTTTTTTTTCCTGGAAATCAGAATAATATGCACAGGCTCTTATCAAAATTTGAAATAAGTATTTTGGAACAGGTAAGCTTTCTGCTGGTAAGACTGTGTATATGGATACTGTAAAATTGAAATTTAAGATGTTTCATATCATTTATATCTCTGAATGATATGTTGGAAGTTACAGAAAAGAAAAACAAGAGAGGTATAGCAAGACTCCTTAGAAAGGATTCCTCATGAATTTTTAGGACTTTTAAACAAGCCTTTGGCATTCTCTCTTCAGAATACTGTTTTCTCCCAGAGGGCTCAGATGCCAGGGAATCAGCACTTCCATCAAGGTCTGCAGGGTTCTTTCCATGGAAGACATTTGAAGAAAATGATCCTCAGCAGCACCAAGAAACATGCTGTCTTTGAACAAAGCTGCTTCTTGAGGCCAGACACAATTTGCTGACCTACTTTGGACAAGGATTTATTGACATCCTGGGCTGCAGCCTGCCTCATGTACCACTGCCAGGAGAGCTTGAAGCACAGCTGCTGACGGGACGGTGATTAATTTGATTGTCACCAGCACTGCTCTGAACATAAGGCTTTCTCAGGAGGCACATAAAAGGAAACTTAGTGCAGTCACTTGGATTTTGCTGCTAAGGGAGTGAGGGAAGCAGAAAAACAAATCCCAGCTCAGTTTAACAAGGCCAGCCCTTCCAGCTCAGGGCTCTTTGCACCGGTCTTCTGTCACTGGGTGAGGTACAAGCAGCCAGCGGAGGCTCACAAGTAATACACTGCACAGTTGGCTCTTCAGTGGGAATGAAGCCATCATTCCTCATCCAGAGTGCAAAAAAGACAGTAGGATCACCAGAAGCAGTATGTCATTGAGATGTCCTCACCAGTCTACCAACTGGTTATTTCAAACCACCTTGGATGTTTATACTGGTAGACACCACAAAGATGTGCTGTACAGCCACGTGACAAATGCAACATGATGAAAACTGTGAGTTTTTGAATTGTGATGAGCTATACTTTGTGCACATCAGTCACAGCCCGTGATCTAGGCAAAAACAGCATGTGTCAAAGGATCAGCCACTGTCAACTGGAAGTAATTTCCTTACAAGCTACAGAGGTCTGCAGGTGAAATTATTACAAGACTGCAACTACTTGGTGGCAACTGCAATGACAGTACAATGGAGACCTCTGTAATTTCTAACAAAGTCATTTACAATACTTAATCACAGGACCTGGTTCCTTATTAACTTGCACTTCTTGTCATCATTTGAAACCTCCCCAAAGAGACTGTACAATTTGCAAAATCATCTTCTCATTTAATTTCCTGGTAATGTTTATTCTCGTTTTGCACAGCACTGCTCCAACTGGAATACGATAGAAATGCTTTCCCAGCATTTCCTGCACTCTAACTTTGTAGCACAAAACTGTGTGTCCAAAGGCACATCTGAAGGAGGTACCGTGATGGCGGTCAGATGAGGTTTCAAAATCCTGTAATGATTAAAGGAAGACTCATAAAACCAGGCCAGTCCAAATCTCTTGATGGTGGAGTCACACGTACAGAAAAAGCTCTTCCTACAGAACAACCAGACATTATCCATGCTTTGGCTAAAGTTGAGAAGAAAACAGCTGACTGGCAAAGTAGTTGGGATAAAATGTTCTCCAGCAGCACCTACTTACAATGCTCACAGAGAAGAGGTGTAAAGACAGCCCTTTAGCCAAACCAGGTCTGTGGCAGGGCTCTAAGTTCAAGATGAAAATGGGGAACAGTGTCTTGGAAAATTACTACAAATTACAGACTCTTATAATAAATAAACATTTTTGCCATGGATTATTTCAGCCAACATGAAAA